TCCTTAAAAAACTGGAAATAAAACTGCCATATAACCCAGCAATCCCACTGCCTGGCATACACACTGAGGAGTCCAGAATTGAAAGAGACACGTGTACCCCAATGTTCATCGCAGCACTGTTTATAATAGCCAGGACAGGGAAGCAACCTAGATGCCCATCAGCAGACGAATGAATAAGAAAGCTGTGGTATATATGCAAAAAGGAATATTACTCAGTTATTAAAAAGAATGCATTTGAATCAGTTCTAATGAGGTGGATAAAACTGGAGCCTATTATACAGAGTGAAGTAAGTCAGAAAGAAAAACACCAGTACAGTATATTAAGGCATATATATGGAATTTAGAAAGATGGTAACAATGACCTTATATGAGAGACAGCAAAAGAGACACAGATGTAAATAACAGATTTTTGGACTCTTCAGGAGAAGGTGAGAGTGGGATGATTTGAGAGAATAGCACTGAAACATGTATATTATCATATGTGAAATAGACTGCCAGTCCAGGTTGGATGCATGAGACAGGGTGCTCGGGGCTGGTGCCCTGGGATGACCCTGAGGGATGGGATGGGGAGGGAGGTGGGAGGGGGGCCAGGATGGGGACACATGTACACCCATGGCTGATTCATGTGAATGTATGGCAAAAACCATCACAATATTGTAAAGTAATTAGCTTCCAATTAAAATAAATTTAAAAAAAGAAAAAAGAAAAAGAATGGCAGTGTTAAATAAATGTAAAAAGTAGCCATGAAGGTATACATGGATCCTATGCTTAAAGACCTCAAAGAAATTAAATTGATGTAAAATAAATGAAACAGTAAATTTAAATCTTACAGTTAGTACTTGCTGAATTATCACAAAGTATACAATGCAATAGAATAACAAAAATGGAAAGGTGTACTTTCCTGCTAATATCATAAGCATGTGTGTCTAATAATGCATGCTTTCTGCAGAAGCAGCTCAATGGTGATATTGTAAATGAAACAGGTAAATTTTTTGAGATATATATTTTTTATATTATCTACAAGATTGGATAATGCTAATCATATCTTTTTACATTATTGCATCATCTGAATTTAAAAATAAACTTTGCCTTTTCATGATATCCCTTTTAATGCTCTAATGATGGGTGTATATATAGATATATCAATATATACACATATATATACATATATATGCTGCTGTTTAATCGCTAAGTCCTGTCTGACCCTTTGGGACCCCATGGCCTGCAGCCCACCAGGCTCCTCTGTCCATGGGATATCCCAGCAAGAACAGTGGAGTGGGCGGCCATTCCCTCCTCCGGGGGATCTGTCTCACCTGTGCCTCCTGCGTCTCCCGCACTGCAGGCTGATAGTCTACTGCTGACCCACCAGGGAAGCCTCCATTTATGTTCATGTGCTTAGCCACTCAGACATTTCCGACTCTTTGTGACACCATGGACTATAGCCTGCCAGGCTCCATTGTCCACGGGGATTCTCCAGACAAGAATACTGAAGTGGGTTGCCATGCCCTCCTCCAGGGGATCTTCCCAGGCCAGGGATCAAGCCCAGGTCTCAAGAATTGCAGGCGGACTCTTTACCATCTGAACCACAAGGGAAATCCAAGAATACTGGAGTGGGTAGCCTATCCCTTTTCCAGGGGAACTTGCCAACCCAGAAATCGAACTGGAATCTCTTACATTGCAGGTGGATTTTTTACTAGCTGAACTACTAGGAAAGCTCCATTTGTCTATATGTATAGACCTTGGTAAAGCTACTTAAAATATTCATGGAACTTTTAGGTATCAAACTGCATACAGTGCTGTGATCAGTCAATTCAGTTCAGTTGCTCAGTCATGTTTGACTCTTTGCGACCCTATGGACTGCTGCACACCAGGCTTCCCTGTCCATCACCAACTCCTGGAGTTTACTCAAACTCATGTCCATCGAGTCAGTGATGCCATTCAGCCATCTCATCCTCTCTTGTCCCCTTCTTCTCCCCCCTCCAATCTTTCCCAGCATCAGGGTTTTTTCCAATGGGTCAGTTTTTCACATCAGGTGGCCAAAATATTGGAGTTTCAGCTTCAGCATCAGTCCTTCCAATGAATATTCAGGACTGATTTCCTTTAGGATGGACTGGTTGGATCTCCTTGCAGTCCAAGGGACTCTCAAGACTCTTCTCCAACACCACAGCTCAAAAGCATCAATTCTTTGGTGCTCAGTTTTCATTACAGTCCACCTCTCACATCCATACATGACTACTGGAAAAACCATAGCTTTGACTAGATGGACCTTGATTAGTAATGTCTCTGCTTTCTAATATGTGTCTAGGTTGGTCATAACTTTTCTTCCAAGGAGCAAGCATCTTCTGATTTCATGGCAGCAGTCACCATCTACAGTGATTTTGGAGTCCCCCAAAATAAAGTCTCTCACTGTTTCCATTGCATCCCCATCTATTTGCCATGAAGGGATGGGACCAGATGCCATGATCTTAGTTTTCTGAATATTGAGTTTTAAGCCAACTTTTTCACTCTCCTCTTTCACTTTCATCAAGANACTGCTCCTTCCTCCTGCGTCCTGGTGCATACAAGGTTCTGTTTGTGCCCTCCAAGAGTCTGTTTCCTGTGTAAGTTCTGGTGGCTCTGTGCTGGGATTAATAGTGACCTCCTCAAAGAGGGCTTATGCCATACCCAGGTCTGCTGCACCCAGAACCCCTGCCCTTGTGGCAGGCCACTGCTGACCTGTACCTTTGCAGGAGACACTCAGACACAGTTCTGGCTCAGTCTCTGTGGGGTCTCTGGGTCCTGGTGGGCACAAGATTTGCTTGAGCCCTCTGAGCATTTCTGGTGGGTAACGGGTTTGATTATAAATGTGATTTCACCCCTCCGACCATCTTGCTGAGGCTTCTTCTTTGCCCTTCAGTGTGGAGTATCTTTTTTGGCAAGATCCAACATTCTCCAGTCAATGGTTGTTCAGCTGCGACTTGTAGTTTCGGAGTTCTCACAGGAGAAGATGAGCACATGTCCTTCTACTACAGCATCTCACACCAGCATACAGTGCTGGGATATTATCTCCCAAATATGTGTAGCAGATGTAGTCTGTTAAGAATCTGAAATGAACCACATTTGTGAGGGCTAACCCAATATTTTTAGTATTTTAAAAATCAATAGCTTTCATAAATTCAATTGGAGAAACAACACAAAAAATAAAAATGGGATGAGTATGTGAAATCCTGTAAGAGTTTCTAAAATAAAAACCACATATTTATGTGAAATTTTCCTAAAAAGGTCTAGTGGATATTGACTTTATTTTGGAATACACATCATGACCCCAGTGATGTTTAGATGGAAATAAGTGGGTGGAATCTTGTGTTGGCCTAAGACTCAGGCACAAGGAGCTCTTGTCTAGTCTTTATCTCAGGCAGTCTGAGCATACTTCTGGCATTTTTGTGATTTTACTTTCTCTAATACAGGATTATAACTTCAGCTCTCTTCACAGTAGATATTTTTAGAATTACCTGGTAATTACTTCATTGACTTGGCTCTACCAAGTTCAATATATAACTGACATTATCATGTTCCCATCTTACAGCTCACCAACTGCTATTGTATTTCCCTTCCTAAATTCTTATACTGAAGTCCCACTTCCACTATCTCCAAATGTGACTATATTTCTAGATAAAGTCTTTAAAGAGTTAATTAAATTAAATGAACTTTGTGTGGCTGGATCCTAACCCAATATGAGCAATGGACTTATAAAAAAGAAGAAGTTAAAAAAAAAAAGAAGAAATTTGGACAGAGACATTTTGTTGTTTTGTCACTTACTCATGTTTGACTATTTTGGGGATCCCATAGCTGGGACTGTAGCTCACCAGGCTCCTCTGTTCATGGAATTTTCCAGGTAAGAACACTGGAGCAGGTTGCCATTCCCTTTCCCAAGGATATTCCTGACTCAGAGATCAAACCCATCAGTTTCTTTATTACTGAGCCACCTGGGAAGCCCATTATAGAGACATGCACGGAGGAAAATGGTGCAAAAACACAAGGAGAAGACAGTCATTGCCAAGCCGAGGAGAGAGGCCTTAGAAGACACCAATGCTGCTTACACCTTGACCTCCAGCTTCTAGCATCCAGAAGTGTGAGGAAAAAATTTTAATTGTTTAATCCACCCAATCTGTGATTCTTCCTTATAGCAGTCCTAGTAAGGTAATACATCAACTCAGAAATATTTGGGGAAGGTCTTCTCTGATGCAAAAACATGAGAACATTAACCTTTGTTTTATCGCTGGTCTCTAGATGACTCATTCCCACATAAAAGATCTTAAAAAGAAAGGGATGTAAATACAGATATAGATATATTAAGATGACAAAATCTTCTATAAATAAGACAATGTCACTGCAAAACAGAAGAAATAGCTATAATAAAGAAGCATTAATAAAAAGAACCCTCGGATTTAGCAACAAGACATAGCTTATAAGGGTGATGATGATGACAGTGTTACTTGTAGAAACATTCATCAATTATCCTCCAGAGAAAGTCTATCATTCTTACTCTCATTTTAAAAGGGTCACATCAGGCTGCCCAGTTATATATGTTTTAGTACTATTGATAATGACAATTGCCACAACAAAATAATAGGCATTTATTGAATTCTTCGTATGTGCCAGGTTCTATAATAAAATCTCATATGGCTTATCACCTCTAAGGCTCACAATAACATTGTCAATTAGGCAATACTAGAAATCAATTCAAAGAGTGCTCAGTCGCTCAGTTGTATCCAACTGTTTGCAACCCCATGGATTGGAGCCCATCAGGCTTCTCTATCCATGGAATTCTCCAGGCAAGCATACAGGAGTGGTTGCCATTTCCTACTCCATCAAAGAAGCTATTAATATCCAAAAGACTCACAATTCTGTTACTCACTAGATGAATTACAGCTATTGGGCTAATATTATGGACTCAATTGTTTTAAAAGGCAGCCCGATTCCCTGGTCATCATTATCTCTAGTGATTGTAAGAATCTTACCAGAAGGCACTTCTAGAGTGAAGGCATCTGTGAGTTTTGACAAAAGCTCTTGCAGTTCTTCCTCTAGCTCATCCTTCCCTCCTGGATGTTCATTGCCCCTTTCTTTTCCCCTGGTGCCAGAGCAAGACCAGTCATTTCAATAGGAGGAATTTTGGGGATGTCCTGCAACCATCCTTCCTGGGAACTGGGCAGGGCACTAGAGGTTTCCTTTGAGGTCTTCTGTGCTCGGCTTTGTGCCCTGGGGCTTTGCGCTGGCCTCGGCTTTGAAGTGGCCTCTGGTAATTCTGAGTTTGGTAGAGCATGTTTTGCAGGCACTGGACCTCAGTGGCTTCCATTAATCACAGTGGACTTAGGAAATGTTTCCTGTTGTGAACCATCCTCAGTGGAACCCTTGATCTGGAAAGAATCTCCTCCCCTGTTCTCAAATCATTCTTCACCCTTTCTGTGGTCACCCTTGGCAATCACATTTTGCCAGGAAAAAGATGAAGGATGGAGGGACTGCAAAATTGCCTGGGTAAAGACAATTTTATTTATGAAAAAATTAACATTTTTCTTACTTTTTCATTATGTGTTAAATTTCAATATTTCAATAGGAAATTTTAATGCAATACTTTCTTTTTTGTCTCTACAATATTAGCAAATTTTATTTTATGCTACTAATTCAATGTCACCTTAAAACTATCTACAAAAGTCAGAACAGTTTAGATTCTAAAAAGATCACAGGGAATAATCATAAGGAATTTTGGAAAACTCTAGGTTCTGAAAGTTCAAGTTCCAAAATATCAAAGGAATATCTGAAAATGTCATGATATATTGGATTGATAGATAAAAATATTACAATAAAAAGTTCATAATGATTTACTTAGGTAGGTTTCAAAATAAGCCACAGGTATAAAATCTAGGGAATGTGCAGCCTATGAAGCACAGGTCTCTAGTGTGGTCCACAGACTCCTGGAGGTCCCTGAGACCCTTTCTATAGCACAGGGAACTGTATTCAATATCTTGTAATAACCTTTATGGAAAAGAGTCTGAAAAGGAATATATGTATTTATGTATAACTGAATCACTTTGCTATATACTTGAAATGAACACAACATTGTATATCAACTATTCTCCAATAAAAAAGAAAAAAAGAATATCCTTGAAGGTATAGCAAAAACTCTTGTTTTTCTCAGTAACATGTCTCCTTAATATTGTATGTGCCAAAATGCAATGTATGCATAAAACATTTCTGATGTTTACTGAAATATAAAAATTGTCTCTTATGCAAAAGAATTAGGCTTTGGTATTTGGCAAACATCTTTTTCAAAAATGAATGAAGTGAGACTATTAATGGAGGAGAGCATGGCTACCCACTCCACTATTTTTGCCTGGAGAATTCCATGGACAGGGGAGCCTGGTGGGCTATAGTCCACGGGGTTGCAAAGAGTTGGACATGACTGAGCAACTACCACATACACACACACACACACACAAGAATATTTAATTACTGTTTAAAACATTATATTATATAATAGGTTTATTATTTTCATTTTCAAATTAGTTTATTTTAAAACCACTTATCAGTCTTAATTTTGATTAAGGTAAATAGCAATAGATATAACCCACAAAAGCTCTCTGGGACCCTCAAAAAATTATAAGAATCTAAAAGGGATGCTGAGACTAAAGGTTTAAGAATCAATGCTATAAAGTACCTCTTTGCTCCAAGTCTACTGTTTGTAAATGGTACCCATGCTGTTGTCTCCCAATGGCACTACCTTCAGAAAAGTGGAAGATATCATCTGGTCGATGAAAGGGGGAGTTGATCAGGGTATGGAGAAAAGTGGGAAAGGGAGGAGGCTGATCAGAGTGAGATGCAAGAGCCTCAGGCTGCAGCCCACTCTCAGCCCACGGATTCTAGGTCAGACCTCCAGATGGTCCAGATGACCAGTGTCTCCCACATTCTATACCTGTAGATCCTGTCCCGTTAGCTGCAGCTTGGTCCACAGACTGTCCTGATTGATTGTGAGTTCGTGAATCTTTATATCATATCTGCAACTTTTTTCTTCCTGGCAGGCATATATGGCTTGCAACTTGTCTTTGTATCGGTTTAACTGCTTTTTAAGGAGCCTGCAAAGAGGACAGGTCTGAGTGGCTTGGAAGAGCAAGACACCAGTATAGCAAGATGCAAGAGCCCTAGCGAAATGTACTCCGGGTCCTCTCTGTGGGAGAAGGTGCTGGAGAAGCCTGGATTTGACTAATAACACCTAACAATCATCAGTCTTGCTTTAACCTGTTCACCCTGTACAGTTGTTTCTCATGTCTACTATATACACAATTATCCCAAGAATTTCAGTCTTTTTAGAGGTGTTTTCAGAAATTCATCATGCCTGTTATGGACTATTTTTGACAGCATACCTTCAGCAGCTCCTTACATGTGAATATTGACTTTATTCATCATCCTTCTGTCCATAAATACTCCATTTAGAATGACGGCATGCATGTCACGGCTAAATACCTAACATCTGACCACGACCACAAGGGAAGGAGCAATCAAGCAGTTCGTGAATTCTGGGTCTATCTTGGCTTCTCATCCTAAGTCTCGTTGTTCATTGGTTTCAGAATGAATCAAGTAGTCATTCTTTCATAACATGAGGGAGGCTATGTTGCTCCTCTGCTAGAAGTCCTCCAGTGTTTCCCCCTCTTTATTTGGAATAAACCGAAGTCCTTACAGAGGCAGCCAAAACTTGATAAGATGGCCAGGCTCCCCCTTCCCTCCTTGACCTCATCTCTACCTCCCCCTGCTCACTGCCTGCCCTTCAGCCACACAGAGCTCTTGGTAACTGCTTCAACTCCCCTCAGAGCTGGCTCTTTTGGGCCCCTCTGTCTGGAATTCTCCTTCCCTAGGTTTTTCCTCAACTCATCCCATCATCTTTAAGCTTCCACTTGCCATCTCACCCTCAGTGAGGCTCTCACTCACTGCTCTACTTGAAACTGCAAACCAGGACCCCCAACCTCACCTCCATCATCTCTCATCTCCTTCGCTAGCCCTTCCCATCTCCTTGTCTCCGTGGATTTTTGCCACATCTAATTGCTACAGAACAAGACACAATCCTAGATTTTGACTTAGTCTCGAGCCTTCAGACTTCTGGATAGTCACTTTTATGACACACTACCTGCTTCACTTGTTACTTCACTCCTATTTTACTTATTCTATTACTTAATAATTACTTATTGTGTCTTTATTCTGGCAACTTTTTTTTTGGTCTATTTTGCTTCTTGTCATATCCCCAAACCCAGGCCTAAAACAGTTCCTGTTACAAAGTACATATACAACTAAAATTGGCTTTTTAAAGTACAGTCTTATTCTTTGACCAATACGGTTCTATTTGTGGAATTTGTGGAAATTGGCTCCCTGGTAGGAAATAAAACAAATATTTTCAGTGTTAGAGCCATTGAAATTTTTAATTGCCACAGATCTTGGACAGGTCTTGGAATTTAGCTGGGGTTCATATCCAAAGCAGGCATCTCTAAAAGATGGCCTTCAAGCTTCCAGATAGCCACACAGGTGGAACAAGAGTCTGACTTTAAAATCTTTGATTGTAATTAGAATTTCAAGTACATCTTTATGATAGACTTTTCAGAAAAGAGTCAGCTGAGAGATTTTTATATAGCTGACAACAAAGAAGCATTCTCCAAAAGCTTCTCTAGACAGTATTTTCTATAAGTAGAGTGCTATGTTTGTTATGACCAGTAACGACATCCATTTTCTTCTGTATTGCCTGTCGCTGCTATCCCCTTCCTCCTCTCTGGCCCATCCGCCATGTTTGAACGCCTCATAGACACACATTCCCATCTTGAACAATCCAGGAGAAAGCAGAGGAAGCCTGCATTTCTTTTCTGACTCTGTTTTTTTTTTTTTTTAGAGCCTTCAGACTTCTGGATAGTCACTTTTATGACACACTACCTGCTTCACTTGTTACTTCACTCCTATTTTACTTATTCTATTACTTAATAATTACTTATTGTGTCTTTATTCTGGCAACTTTTTTTTTGGTCTATTTTGCTTCTTGTCATATCCCCAAACCCAGGCCTAAAACAGTTCCTGTTACAAAGTACATATACAACTAAAATTGGCTTTTTAAAGTACAGTCTTATTCTTTGACCAGTACGGTTCTATTTGTGGAATTTGTGGAAATTGGCTCCCTGGTAGGAAATAAAACAAACATTTTCAGTGTTAGAGCCATTGAAATTTTTAATTGCCACAGATCTTGGAGAGGTCTTGGAATTTAGCTGGGGTTCGTATCCAAAGCAGGCATCTCTAAAAGATGGCCTTCAAGCTTCCAGATAGCCACACAGGTGGAACAAGAGTCTGACTTTAAAATCTTTGATTGTAATTAGAATTTCAAGTACATCTTTATGATAGACTTTTCAGAAAAGAGTCAGCTGAGAGATTTTTATATAGCTGACAACAAAGAAGCATTCTCCAAAAGCTTCTCTAGACAGTATTTTCTATAAGTAGAGTGCTATGTTTGTTATGACCAGTAACGACATCCATTTTCTTCTGTATTGCCTGTCGCTGCTATCCCCTTCCTCCTCTCTGGCCCATCCGCCATGTTTGAACGCCTCATAGACACACATTCCCATCTTGAACAATCCAGGAGAAAGCAGAGGAAGCCTGCATTTCTTTTCTGACTCTGTTTTTTTTTTTTTTTTTTAATGGATAAGTTATCATAAAGAGTTTCTGGTGAACATAATTTACCTAGTGCTCATATTTCCAGGCAAATATTCACTGCTAATATGGTTCAGATTATTTGAGAAATAATTCCTTTCAAATGATCTGAAATCTGTCTTTATAAATTAGATCTTTATATGTAGTTCTGCTTTCTGAGGTTAAGGAGCTTGAGTCTCCCAAGTAGGAGGCCTTCAAACAGAACACAAGTATTCACAAGGCAAATCAATCATGTACAGAGTAGTGATAGTTACTTTCCTTGATCAACACCTAGTAGAGAGTAACAAATAGACAACTAGTAATTGAATGATACTCTTTCTCGTAATGTAGCCTGAGACTACATTGCTTTTTAAATAATCAGTGACACAATGTGGGCTGCTATGAAACTTACAGTTGACTAATTTATCTCAGGCCTTTCCACACTATTTACTATGAAACTGGGCCTATAACTATGGGATTTACATTTAATCTTTTAAAATTTAGTCTTTATTAACTGCCCCACTATTCCAGACTGCAGCATCTTAGAGATTTAAGACTCTATTTTGACTTATTATTTATGCCTTTTGGTATCATGTCACACACATTTGTGAAGTATGCTATCTACTATTTTATCCAAATCTTTGATGAACACAATGGTGTAGACAGGAACAAAGATAAAGCCTTCACATAGATTTTACTCATTATTTAACTTCACACTGGTATTCTTTGTGTTGATAAATACTTTACTAGGAGACCAAAGGTGTATTTAGTGGGTATGAAGTATATAAAATGGAATCAACTAGTTTAAAACAATAGCTTGAAATACTTTTATTGTGTTTCAAAAGACAAATCATTCCCTGCGTTTCTGTACCCTATTGTCATTCCTTAATACAGAATTCTTGGCTCAGTTATTTTAAGAATTAAATTTCAAAGTTTCCTTTTTATTTCTACATTTTGTGTTTCAAAAATGCCTTTTTATTTCTATACTATTTTCCTTAAGTTTATTTCTAATTTACTTTCTGTATCTTCCAGATGTTCAAGCTGGATTTAGAAAAGGTAGAGGAACCAGAAATCAAATTGCCAACATCTGTTGGATCACTGAAAAAGCAAGAGAGTTCCAGAAAAGCGTCTACTGCTTTATTGACTATGCCAAAACCTTTGACTGTGTGTATCACAACAAACTGGAAAATTTTCAAAGAGATGGGAATACCAGACCACCTGACCTGCCTCTTGAGAAACCTGTATGCAGGTCAAGAAGCAACAGTAGAACTGGACATGGAACAACAGACTGGTTCCAAATTGGGGAAGGAGTACGTCAAGGCTATATATTATCACCCTGCTTATTTAACTTATTTGTAGAGTACATCATNCAGGAGAAGAAGGGGACAACAGAGGATGAGATGGCATCACTGACTCGATGGACATGAGCTTGAGCAAGCTCCAGGAGTTGGTGATGGACAGGGAGGCCTGGCATGCTGCAGTCCATGGGGTCACAAAGAGTCAGACATGACTGAGAGACTAAACGGAACTGAAATGACATCACAAAAAAGATAAAAAAGATCAACATTGTTTTCAATATTAAATTATTTTTAAACGTGTTGTTAAGCTTCTTTTCATGAATTATTATAGAATTTTTAAATATTCCTTATCTATCATATTTTTATATTATGAAGCACATCTCATTATGTATGTGTATGTATGTATATACCCATCTCATTATGGGTATATATATGATGAAGCTATATTAAATGTTCAATAAATTTATTGACAGCATTTTTATTTTAATACATATTTATTAACATATATTTATACATTGGTTTACTGAGTATCTACTAGATACCAAGTATTGTGCCTGCAAAAAAGATCTTCCCTCAGATCGTCCTTCTTATTGAGGGCCAGAAATTCTGTCTTCTAAAGGAATGACAACAGGATACAGGGACTCAAAGAATTATCTGCCTTTGAGACACAATAAGATGGTAAACAGTTTCCAACCAACCTAATAAACCTTCAAGAAAGATGCTGCTAGAGAAGGTATACTGATTTCTATAGAAGCAGATAAGACACACAAGAGACACAGAATACCTCACCGAAAATGCTTAAGCAAATTTCAAGGAATAAGATAAATTAAAACCTAAAACTTAATCTAACTATCCAAGTGGTTTTTGTCATGCTTAACCACTCAGATCTCGCCATTACCTTCATATGAAATCACAGGATTTCTCCATTTAAGGACTATTTCCAGATTAGAAGCAATGCAGTAAAAACTTTGCAAAATTTTTTTCTATAAAAGCAAAGTGTAATGCTATTGATGTGTCTCTGCTGTTAGTATTTGTCCGCATACATGTGGTTCCTACCTTCTGTCTCTATGGAGAGCATTAGTGGATTCGTGGGTCCTCCACAGTTCATTCCTAATGCTGAC